GAAAAGACACCTGGCTGCCTTGTGCCTGCCCTGCCTTGTGCCTGCCGCGTAGAGGTGGTATGCTGCTACTTTGTCACAAGAGGGTGGGCAGAGGGGTGTCCTTGCATGTTGAACACAGGAACGTCATTGAAACCTAGGGCTATATACGTAGTTGATCCGTGAAACACTCCGCCATCATGCGCCACCCCTCCCGTATCTCTTTATTTGAAGAGCCTGAAGGTATCAACAGCCCCGACCAGAGGTGAAGTTCCCATCATTTCATGGGGCGCTCCGCAGTGCTCCGCACGGGGCCCTCACCGTTGGCGGACTTGTTTGATTGGTTGCTCCTCTCTCTCTTTCTGCGTGGTCTATGTTTAAAGTAATAGGACCCCGGATTCTACTATATCATTTGTCATATGTTTTGTGCTGTGTTATTTCCACTGATGATGGGGGCGCGCCACAAACAGGGTCTACCGCTTCATGGATGTCATCGGTGTCATGTTCCGTCCTTGAAGGGTTTGCCTTACCTCGTCCAAGGTTCTGGGGGGAGTAAGTAGGGAACACGAAGAGGACAGAAAGATGAGACCGTAAGGCAGTAAGGGCAACGGAAACTGCAGGACATGGGGAATTTGGGAACGGAGAAGAGGACCGTCTCCACCTTCCCACTCCCATTCCGGTCCAAAAGAAGAGCTCGAGAGACGGCCCGTCCTGAGGTGACACACGAGCTGGTAACCTCTATCTCAAAGTCCCCGAGATGGAGTGGAAAGCACTGTCGGATTTGTTTTGGGTGGCCAACCAGTGAGGAGACTGGGAAGAAGATGAAGAAGGGTCGCAGGAGTCGCGATTGTGCTGAATCCTATCATTTCCCATACGTTCACTATAGACAGGACTCCTCCAAGCCAACAAGCCTCCCCGAATCGCAGGAAGCACAGAATACGAGATTCTTGTATCTTAGTTGGGGGAAGCAGCCAAAAAGCGCAATCATATGCGCACGACCTATTCCTATGTGGGCTCAGGTGGATTCGTGGTATGTTAGTGACGGACGGCAAAGGATCTCAACTGAGATTTGCTCAGGAGATGTAGAGATGGGTCTCCGACCGCCCACGAGCTGTGGTCAAGTGGCAAGCTGGTAGGGACAGGTTCTGACTGGTGAGTTTCGGAGGAAGCACGCCTCAGCTGGCTAAACTGAAGCGGGGGGCTTGCAATCATTTCTTTGGGGCCATACTATCACTTTGGATGGGGGGCCATTCAAGACAGCTTTGGCTGCCCCTGTGTCTTTTGCTCTGAAACCGTGTGGTTGGCCCGTTGTTCTGCACGGCGAGCAGTTTGAGGTTGCACATCAGCTTTGTTTTTGGCCAGTTCATGCAAGCTGAGAATACACCCTTGAGCTTGCAGATCTTACGCCAAAGGCCGAAGAAGATCATTGCGAGACTTGTATCCTCCGGATTTTTGCGCACAAAAGCAGGGAAAACGTTTGACTTGGGAGGCAGCAACAATTACATATATAAACATCAAAAGCGGACTCATTCGATTGGCCCTCACGCGATGTCCTATCTGATTGAAACTCATTCCAAGCTTCAATCAGTCACACCATGTTTGAACAACAAATGATGATATGCGATAGGACATCCAGAAATGCTGATTTTCTTGAACTACAAGTGCTGCGGATGTTGTGTTAACTTCCGTCTCGATAACTGACTGCAGTGGAGACACATAGCGGCAAGCACTTGCAGACCAGTCAAGGATGCGTTGGTTTTTGCTCTGGTTTTTGATGCGAACCAAAGAGCAAGCACATCCATGGAACTGTTACAGTGCCTGTCATGTTCCGTACTGCTGACCGTCGATACCTTGTTTGACTAGTATTTCGCCAGGGCGGCCGAGCACGACGACGCAGCCTACAAGCTGCAACTTGGTCAAGTTAGAGGGTGGCTCATCCGGCATGGGACCTCTGAAAATAACCACGTTGAGGGCATGGGCCAATGGGAGGGCGGTTTTGCAACATGCTTGTGCTTGTAACGTTCAGTTATAGAGAGGAGTCATTATACATCCATGTCTTCATAGCTTCTTAAATGGCATTGATCCTCGCACTCGGTGGGCCTGGAGGCCCTGGGTGGGTCAGAACAACTTGGGAAGCGGCGAGGCAAACTGGAGCCATAGCAATCTGCAGTGTAAAGACGAAGCATTGCGCGGGGAGGGACGGTGAGGAAAATACCAGCAGAGCTGAGAAAAAGAAAAAAAAAGAAATCGCTAGTAGTAACAAGGTTCGCTAGTAGAAACAAGTGCCACGCTAGTAGTAACAGGTGCCTTACTAGTAGTAACAAGAAATCTGCCGTCGAGACCCCCTGTGCAAGTCCCCCGCCTCCGCGAGTCCGCCTCCACCGCCCGCGAGTCCTCCTCACCCGACCGCGAGATCCACCTTCACGCGACCCCTCAACGAGACTCGAACATGATCGTTTGCAGTAAGTCATGTTAAGAACTATTTGTATAACTCTGGATGGTTCGCATGTTCATCCCATATGGCCCATATGATGCATGTTTTTGAGTTGAAAGCGGGAAGAGGAAATGAAGGCAGAGGTGGCACTGACCCAGCTGGATTGACATTCGATGGGTAGGTCACTACGGGGCAGGGCGTCTTGACTCATCAATTCAGGTTTTTAAGGCTTGGGGTGTCTAGGGTTGAGGGGATGTATGCATAGAGAGAGAGAGAGACCTAGTAGCGCCCTTTGAGTGCGAGACGGACGCGCCTCCCAAAGTCGTGGACAGCTTCTACTAGTAGCGTCCGGACGCTACTAGCGATGCACTTGTTCCTGTCGTAGCTTCCAAGATGAACCGGTGTTTCGGTGGCTCTTACAGTCTACATGATTACATGCAAAAGAGGCCCATCGACGCCCATCGACCTGGCCATTTGTGGCTTATACGGAAACAAAGGTGGTGGCACGGTGGCAGATTCCTTTTCCTTTCTTTTGTGTCCTGTTCCTTCCTTTTCCTTGCGCCACTTGTGCCAGGAGACAAGGGCTTCTTTGAACTAAATCCGCGTGCTCTGTGGGATGTTCAAGCACCGCTTGCCCCAGCAGCCTCATCATCCAAACAACATCCTTTGAAGAGCAACACCAACAAATTCCCTCGAAGCTCTTGACCTGGCATATTCAATGAATGTATATACCTGGAATCAAGCCTATCTTAACAAGAAGATTTCCAGTTTAAGCCACCACTGGCGAGACTTGGCTTTCCAGCCGAACTGCTGAGGTTCCTCTTCTCAGCTTTGACTGGGCTGGCAGGCATTGGTGCAGGACCAGGCCAGATCGGCGGATTGCGAAATTGAAAAGTCGAACTGGTGGAATTGGAGATCATCCTTTAGGTTAGGTCTAGGTGGGGTTGGTGAGTTGTGTTTCTAAATGAGGCCCCAGACCCCTCGACCCACCACTTGACAGGGTTCCCTGCTGAGATGCCAGTATCAGCCAAGTCGGCGCTGGTTGCATGCTGAGTTCATGAGCGTTCCACAGACTCCAATATGTATATTGGCTTTAGAGTGGGTTACGGGGAGAACATGCCATTGCATGTCATTGGACCATTGGACATTTGGAATGTTGACCATTGGACATCGGACGCAGAAGGGCCTCCCTGGGGACGACTGTACCGGCCAAAGCGCACTTGGTGAAGATCCTTCCGCCGGTCGATCATTCCTGAACCAAAATTCACTAAATTGAAACTTGTCGTGATGTGGAGGTGCAACAGTACTGGGAGGGTTCAAGGGACTTGGAAATGCCAAGGCACAAGTGGCTCGCCCTTCCTCATCGAGCCGACCACACTGACAGTGCTCCACAGTGTTCGGGCAGCACATGGAGAGTGGCTGGTATGCCGAACCATGCAGGGAAGATGGAACATGGGATGTAATAGGGAGAGACTTCAAAAGCCCTGAAAATTAGTAGCCGAGGAAAGTGGATCAAACGCCACTGTTGTGCTTGGGTCCTTTTGAGACACACCCTCGTCCTTGAGTCTGAAGAGAACTACCAGGGAAGTGACAACCCTGACAGAGGCCGCTACAAGTGTCAACCCAAATCTGTGAGTTACTTGGCCGTTGGCCGTTTCAGGGATGCTGGCTGCGGAAAACCACCATGCTGGCCGCGGTGTCCACGGCTGCCAGCACAGCTGGAGCAGTGCTTCGTTCTGAGGCTTGCAGGCACTGCAGAAGTTGCAGTTGCGGAGTAGCCAGGAGCGCCATGAAGCAGCCGGTCACCGGTGCTTGAGCGCCCTCAGCGGATCCGTTTTCCGTTCCGGGTTTCGGGTCGGTCAGCCGGGACCCCGGAGCGGACCCGCTCCCTGCGCCCTGCAGGAGATTTATTGGAGTGGCTTGGCCAGCATTGGGGTGCGGCTGAATGTTGGGAGGCTGTTGAATGCACCAGACAGGACAGGACAGGTTTTTTGTGCCCGGCTTCGATGCTTTCGAATTGCACACCACTACTTCCACTGCTATTGGCAATGGAGGTGGCCAGCAAATAATACTACAGTAGACTAATTTCTGTGATTCGATGCAGTTGCACTTGCACTTCTGTTTTAGCCTGACCGGACTGGGCCGTGCAACGCTCTGGTCGGGTCCGGGCTGAGGCTACCTTTGTCACTGGGGTCGGAGCTTGGCCCTCTCGACCCACACTTTGGAGGCACCGCTGTCGTCGCACCCGATGCACCGGCGTTCCTTTCGGGGTTGCGCCACGAAGAAACACTCATCCACCTCAGAGTCCCGGACGTCCGGGAGTCACGTGCCATGCGGACGCCGTCCTCAGGATTTGGCCTTCTTGCGGCTCGCGTGTATTTGTCGCACTCGCGCCCGGGCGGCAGCGGCCATGGGTGGGCCCATCCCAAAAAGGACCACCTAGAGGACTGCTGCTTGATCCTTCAGGGGTGAGGACTTAAGAGTTCCGTATTTTTTGAGATTGTGACCCATTCTACGCCCGGGATGCTGGCTGCTTCAATCATGCGTTCGGCTGAACAGCACCCGCTGAGGCGAACGCACTGCCCTCGAAATGGCCTTCTCCAGCTGGTGCTCTTTGAGCCTGTCTGAACGTCAAGCGTTGACTGAGACTCGGATATGGATCTATGGGAGGTGCAGGATCTTGGGTTTGGGGGCCTGAAGGAATGGCTTCTGAAGGAACCCTAGGCTGGAGCTCTTCGATCCTTAGCCGTCCTAGCCCTGCTTCCGGGCTCAAACTGTTGATGGAGAATGAAACCTGCACCCTGTTGATCAGCTACAGCTGCTCTAAGTGAATCAAGATGGAACAAGCGCTACTTGTAGAGGAGGTACTCTGGCAATGTGATGGGAGGAAACTTCACATGATTGAGGACTTCTTGCTGGCTGATGGTATCCATTTCCACGCAGTTCTCTTCAGCTACCTGCCAGATTGCTACCTGGCATGGACAGATGCGCTGTTTGGCATCATCTTGGGGTTGCAGTGATATTGAAGAAGCGTGGAATCTCAGTAGAACGAGCAAGTGTTCCAAAGTAGAGAAGTGACGTGCCTCTCTTGCTCTCAGAACTGCTATGCTATAGCCCCGTCTCTTAGGGCCACAAATCCGTTGTTTGATTTGGGATGAAGTGGAGCTTCACCGGCCTCATTAATATGACTAACATCGATTCCGTAAAGGGGCGGCCACTCCATCACCACCCGCACGATGTGTCACTAGTAGGATTCGTGCCAAGTAAATCCAAGTGTCCACTATGTGCCCTCCTTTCACCGGATGTTACCCTTCTCACAGAACGATTTAATATACCCTTCTCGGAGAACACCTTCAGCCAAGCACCGAGTGTTTTTGCGAGAGCTTCCGGCCCTCCGAGATACAAGGACTCGATTGGACCTTTTATATCCTTTTATACTTTCTACGAACGAAAGACTTGGCTTGAGTGAAGTCTAAGTGTGGCCCGAGGCTTCTCTCCAAACTGAACTCCGTTGGTGGTCCGGAGTCCTCCCAACCGAGGCTTCGCCAATGCACACAAGAACCACAAGGCCGGAGTTCGCCCTGTCGAGCCACCGAACTGCCGGTGGCGGTGCCGGTGGGAGAGACCGCTGATCCATGGTAATCAGATGGCGCCGGGATCGGCGGATTTGGAGTCAAGTGCTATGACCTAAGGTCCGATTGGAAACACCTGCACCTGCCAAGTGCTAGCTGAAAAATCCTGGAAATTCGATGGCCAATGTTCGTTTAAAGGCTGATCTTTAAATGTGCATTGAAGACCTCAATCCAACTGCCTTTTCTGAAAGCATTTCTAGGAAGGCACATCCATGGAAGGCCCTGTGGTCCAAAGCGTGTTTGTGCACAGATGTGTACACAGGTGGGCTTGGCCTCGATGCTCGTTCTGCTGGTGGAGCTGGTGGAAATCACCTGGACCCAACTGGGCATCAGCGTTTTGCCCCACCAGGCACCGTCCTAGCCCGTCCGCTCGATCGACACAACGCCCCCCCGGTGCCACCGAACCCAGCCGGCCGGCCCGCCCGTTGCGACTCTTCGGCCGGCTTGGCAGGTGGAGGTGAACCTGGTGGACCTGGCGGCCTTCACGGCGGCCGTGCGCAGTCGCAGCGTGTTCTTCTCGTGTCACTCGGTGGGTTGTTGGGGAGGGGCGGTTCGAGGTTCCAGATGGCGACGGAACGCAACGGATGGCGGATCCAAAATAACGATGTGGACCGTAGAATGACGGGAAGAAGCAACACCGGCACGAAATGGGCTTGGCGAGGTGGATGATGCTTTTCTCGGCGAAACGACGATAATTTCTTTCAAAAACACACACTAAGGTGGCCGCCATTGAGACAATCCTGGTTTGACCTGTTTGATGCTTGCCGACTTCAGAGCCTTTTGTACGTGGCAATGGAATTCACTCCAACGAAGCTTAAGATCCCGTGGCCCATGGGGATCCCATGAGGCCTGGAGAACGCGAGGATCAACCATTCGGGGAACAGCGGCTATGTGCCACTTGGGGCGAAGGGATGGGCGACCTCGGACCGTAGAGTCTCCAGGGTGGCTGAAAGAGGGAGGTAGGATGTAGATGTGCCATGATGTGCCATGACTTTGGATGTAGATGTGCCAGTTTCGTTTCAGGTTTCCAGATGTGACCCTTCCGGAATGCAGAGCTGCGCCATCATTTCGGATTCTTTTTTTTGGGGGGGAATGAATTGATATCGATCTAGAAGAAGCAGCTCCAAGTCCAGGTATGGCAAGACCACCCCAACTGCCACTCCTCGGGACCCATGGGGTTTGTTTGAATCAGCGAGGCCACCAAGTTCGGTCTCCAGTTCGGTCTCCAGGCATGGAAAGCCTCCAGTCGTTCGATCGGCGCCACGACTCGAGGAACGGCCCCACAAGGAACGGCGCCCGACTTAGGCTGAACATGACCAGCAAAAACTGGTCGCGCACCGAGGAGTGGCTGTGCACCCTAACAGTGGCGGCAGTGGAGCCCGGTAAACGGGATAGGGCCGGATCGGATAGGGAAAAGCCAGACAAACCATCGTCCAGTATACATATATATATATACAGTACATAGTATATAGATAGATGGAACGTTCCAACATATGCCGATGTTAGATGCCATGGTGTTTGATGGTCCTTATTGCCGGCATTCTTTTAGGCAGCTCAAATTATATACAACCAACAGCTTTACTACCTCCACCCGAGACCACAACAAAACCACTACAGACATGGCTGCAGTTCAGATGACTGTACCGTGCCCCGAACAGGTTGCCTTGTGGCTTTAATGTAAGCTCGCGATTCATACGGTAAAACCACCCCGTTTGGATGGCAAACCCTGGAAAACCTTCTTCATATCAAACAGCCATATAGTATTGTTTTATAGGGATTCACGCTAAGACGGCCCAAGTAAAAGTTGTGCCATCTTGGCGTGCATTCCTTTTTATAATTTGGTGTATATATATATATATATTCAAGACTCTGCACGTTTTTTGCAGCCAACTTCCTTCCCCCTCCAGGAGGTCTCCAACCACGACCTGGCGGTCTCCAGCGCCATGCGGGCGGTGCTGCGGGCGGTTGCAAAGCCCAAGCGAGAGGAGAAAAAGCGGAAGCGAAACGGAACGGGCAGGTTGCTGCATACCTCTGCACCTGTCTAATTATATCATATAGGTTCCCAGGGGTATACACCTGTAAACTGGTCAGCAGGTATTAACAAAACTCTACCAAAATCCGATCTTCCAAAGCTTTTCTTCAACAATCCTTGTCCACGTGGGCTAGCCGGGTTTTGGTGCTTGGGACTCGCTCATCTCATATTTGTTTGCGCTCCTTCCCTGCAAGACTTTTATTTTCAATCATGTTCAACGTTCGTTTCGTTTTGGGCCCGTGTTTCTTGCAACCCCTACAAATGGCGCAAATGGGTGAGAAGCAAGGGCAAAAGTAGGAGGACAATTCACACGTGGGCAAGTCTTTCCCTTCTAAAACCTCCCAGGCACATGGCTGGCCTTTGGGCCAACGACCTATCCTAGCTATTTCTAGCCAGCCCGGCCCTACTATTCCGGCATGTCGCAGCACTACCGCGACCGGAAGGAGACAAAGGACACCAAGTTGACGCCACTCCCCAGCACCTGGGCCCGATGGCGAACGAATGGGTGGGCGACCGGGTGGTGAGGAGGTGAGCAGAGCTGCAAACAACCCGATGCTGATCGAACATGATGTGGAGCGTTTAACTCGGCTTGAACTCCAAGCGGTTTCCAACTCCAAAGGCCGTCAGTCTGTGCTTCAAGGAAGTGGACGTTCTTCTGTTCTGTTTAAGTCTGGTACTGGTGGCGGCACGCAGACTGCAAGAAAGAGTCATCCTTCAGGAAGATCCACAGCTACCAGGTCGGGTCAGGACAGGTCATAGTTACCAGGCTCTGACTGTGCCCAGTTCTTCCAAGCACTCAATGTGTGTTGCTCGAGCCGTCGGTGAACCATGAACATGTCACGAGTTTGCTCACAGATCAGTGTGTGTGTGTGTGTGAAGGCATTCGCGAAGGCATTCGAGAACCTTCGGCCTATGCCTTTGTGCAAGGCATCATCGAGAACACCGTCGTCGAATCCATGGTCGTCTGAGCGTGCTCGAGTGGCCGATTCTCAGCACTCGAGGGAGACCTGAGAGAGTCGAATATACAACGATCTCAGCTAGGCAGCCCCCAAGCAGGGCTAAGCACCCCAAGCATCAGCACAGCCGAGAATGTCATGGTGATCCTCCCTTTGAGCGCGTCTCCCGGAGAAAAAAAGGGTCTGACAGAAAATGGAGGCCCTCCATTGGCCAAAGCGCAACCATGGGGCGAACGTATCACAAATTTTCCACGGCAAAACCACCAAACGGAGGGTTTTGCTGGATCGAGGCGTGTGGTGCTTGCTATGGGGACATTGGTACAGAATCTGTTGAGATGAGAAAGGCTTCATGGGAAAATCCTTTCTTGCCAAGCCCTCCCCAAAAAAAGAACAAGCCAGCGCAGTGCCCGCCCCTGCCGGCCCCGATGGCACAGAAAGGAACTTGGCTCCCCCCAAAGAAGGGGTGCTGTGATTTTGAGACTCAGGCAGTCCAAACAGATCGCCCTTGGACACGACTCCTGGCGGTACGATCGATCTCGTGGTTTTCGTCAAGTCGATTGGAAGGCACCAAGCAACGAAGCTCGATATGCTTTGACTGCTTGTCCTGGTGTGGGTATGTCGATATGTCAAGTTACGAATGCGGACTGTACCTTGGAATCTTCCCAGAAGAAGGGAACATGGTGAGGGTTTGTGTTGGGCATTTGGTGATGTATATATATATATATATATTCTTGTTGTCTCTGTGTAAATCAATCGTTCGTGTTGAGGTTCTTGTCGTCAGGAAGATTTGAGAGTTGCGGGTTCCGCCACGGCGCGAAGAGGGGGATTGGTTCACGAGTCCAGCCCCAACACATTCCAATCCAACCGGGGCAGCTGTCAAGAATTGGCATCCATCATCGGTCAGCATCGTGTCTTGATCACTCCTCGATGGCAAGAAAGCTTTCAAGAACCAGAGCAGTGGAAACGTTTCTTTTTGGAGCTTCCAGGCCATCAAGCACAACATCCACCGTTGGGAGGGGATAGCATTCCGGCCTTCCCAGGTCTTTCTCTACCTGGCCTTCAACCTGATGTTGATCCTTGACAGAACTTGCTGGGTGGCTGAAATCCTTGGCTTGAAACAGGGCTGAAGTTACTTGGATAGAATAGATCTATTACTAGCACTAGCACCCTCTTAACTACGAACTGGGAGGAGTCGACATTTTGCAAATTTCGTAAGACTCAAGGGTTTCGAGGAGTGATTCCATAATGAGCTCAACAATATATTTAAGTTGCAAGTCAGTATATGGCACATGAGGGTGCCGCTTTCTGCCCAAAACGCAACACGCGCAGTATTTGGAAGCATGGTTCTTCCCCAAACACAGTCTAGGATTCGCGCGCGTGTGTGTGTGTGTGTGTGTGTGTTTGTGTGTGTGTGGGCGGCCTTCACGCAAAAAGTTTATTTTTATGGCAGGTGCTGTGCTTTGGCTGGTCCTGACTGCGCTCTCTTTGCGGTGCTGTGCCTGTCGTCGGACTTTGTCACTATCGTGGCAGGCGAAGAAGAATCCCGTGTTTTGGTTGAGCTTGCGCAGGGATAATTTGCTTGTCAGAGGTTTTCTTTGCTGCAGCAGTTTTTGCCCAACTGTTTCCTTGCTAGCTTCTCAGGCCGCCTATAGAACTAAGCTACATGTTTTTTGGAAATCTATTTCTAAAACGTCCCGGTTTGGAGAGCCACCCCGGCGTGCGTGCTTTGTTTAGCACATCGCAGCGCGATGATTGGAGTGAATGGAGCACGCCAGCTTGGGGTGTTACTCCGGTGTTTCTTTGGGTCAGTTCCCAGAACCTGGTGTCTCCTCAAAAATGAAATTAAACAGGAACATTTTCTAGGAAATTAAGTTCGCCATCACCCGGCCATGAGATAGCAGCGGCAGCCAAGTCCTAGGTCTTAAAGCCACATCTTAGGTCTTTGATGCTCTGGCCCGCCGAATGCCAAGGTGACCATGACCGCGAACCAATCGCATTAAAGGTTCGACATTGCCTCGGAGTGGCTAAGCGCATGACTTCTTGTGTTAAACAGCACCTTGTCCTCCACATTTTCCAATTTACCCCTTTGGAGTCCACTCGAGCTGCCTCCTTGCCACTCCAACATCGCCAACACAAAACCAGACAACTCATCTGGAAGCCTGCTTCCTTTTCTTTGGCAACAGCCCAAGAGCTTCACGGCCGGAACTTTCCCAAAAGCTATCTCGCCAAGTATGCCTGCTGAAGTCTGCCTGTTTCCCAGGGCGGCTCAGGCCACTGAGCACCTGGTGCGCGGGACTGTGCCGGTCCGCACTGCTCGTGGACTGTGCCAGCCAACCACTGTGATTCCGAGTCCATCTCAGTCCCGTAGGTCGGTCTAGACAGTCCTGCAGGTCGGTCTAGACAAGTGAGACCGCAGGTAGGAGAGTGAGGTCCTTTCTCACCCGAACGCTGGCTTCTGAGATGTTCAGCGTTTCACAGGGTTCCCCAGAGTCTCTTTTTACCAGAAGAGTTGGGATTGAGCTCAAATAGGTCAAGCGAACTTTTTGACAGAATACATCCGAGCATTTGTGGTTGACATTTTTTGATGACTGTTGGAAGAATAGGGAGACCTCCCGGTTCAACCCGGAAGAAGGAGAACTAACTGCACTGCATCGGTGGGCTCCCTGTTAAAACACAGACCCCATTTGTCCAATGGTCAGACCTGCACTGTTTGGGCACATGTCGCAGTGATGGCTAAGCATGCTCAGCATCGGGCAGTATCTCCGGGGCGTTGTATGATGTCCACCTCAATCCCGGGGTCTTTCAAGCAGGGGAGCCTGATGGTTGACCGCACGAACATGGATTAGCAGCTACATGGTCAATCTATACAATTTGAAGCTCCAGGTTTTCACCGAATGGGGAAGACGTGACGGTCCCACCGAATGGTGTAATGGAAGCGTCTTTTTCAATCAAAACCACATTCTGTTTTTCAGTCC